CTTTCAGCATTGTACTGTTGTGTCAAAATCCGTCAACAAGCCATCACATTGCAGGAAGAAGAATGACCTTTCAGTTCTTTATGTTTGGGCTGCCGATGGAGCTCTGGGTGTGGGGTATGCATGAATGGTTTTCCTAGCTGCTTGACAAATGCAACTCCCAAGGTTTCTTTCAAGTGTGATTCTTAAAAGCCCTAGGTTCGTACATTTTGGTACAACTTTCTAAACCCACATAACTCATGGTGGAAACTGATGTGAGGTTAACTATCAATACCCTGAATAATCAGATTCAGTGCAGCCAGACTGAAATTACTTTATAAGTTCAAATGCAAGAGATGAAGGGTGGGAGTCGGTAAATTTAGAAATTATTTAATTTGCTATAAGGGTCGTAATTATTATTAATCAGTTCTCTAAACTTTATTATGATGTCATGTCACAGGTATCTTCTTTCCCTATTTATAAGAGGCATTTCTCTGTTCTCTCCCTCTGAGAAAAACCACTCAATCTCTTTCTACTATGGATGATCCCTAAAACAGACTGTCTCTGACCCACCACTCAGATTCCTATCCCACAGCCCAGTTGCCTTCGGACATCTCTAACCATCCCAACTGAAGTTATTGCTAACCTACATTATTTTCTATTCCCAATTCTTTAATAGCATCATTATTTTGCCACCACTAATATTAAAACCTCAAAGTTATCTCTGTTCTAAACCACTTAATACGACGACACTTTTACTGATGTATTGAATGTTGGCATTACTTGACAAATTCTGTGAATCCTGCCTCTATAATCTCTGTAAGTCTATATGGTCCCCTTCCATTTCCACTGCTACCACTATAATTTGGGAATTAATGGATTATTTCAATATGGGTGACTAATAGCAATAGTGTCCCTATTTCCAAATTCCTGTTTCTACTCAATCTAAGCACCGCTACCAGACTATCCATCCTAAAGTTAGGTCCTAATCATGTCACTCTTCTATTCAAAAAACTCCACTGGCTTTCTAGCTGTGTGACCTTGATTTGGGCACTTAACCTCTTCATAGCTCAACTTTCTCATATGAAATGGAGATAAAATACTAGCATTTACCTCATAGGATTGTTATGTGGATTAGAGTGGAAAATACATGTAAGTGCTTAAACCAGCTCCTTGAACATAACTGGTGCTCGGTGTTAGCTATTATTATGATCTATGTACATGTTTGTTTCCCTATTAGTTTGAATTAAATTCACTGAAGGCAAGATTAAGTTTTGCTCACCTTTGTATGCTCTGAAATACATAATATGCTATTTCTACATAGAAGTAACTTATTAAACATCAGCTGAATTTGTATATCTATGCCACTACTGATGGGCCAGTTTGCTAGAACTTGTTGCATTAGGAATATGGCAGGCCAGGCATGGTGGCCCACGCCTGTAGTCCCAGCACTTTGGGAGACAGAGGTGGGAGGATCGCCTGAGACCAGGAGTTCAAGGTTGCAGTGAGCTATGACTGCACCACTTCATTCTAGCCTGGGTGACAAAGTGAAGCCTTGTCTCTAAAATAAAATAAAATAAAAATAAAAGAAATATGAAGTAGTAAAAAATAGTCACTTCACATTAAACCAATGAAAGGTAATTGGGGCTCATCAAATATTTTAATCTAGTGTTGAGTTCAATATGGCTTTATATACCTACCATTAGCACACAACCAATGACTTCATTTTTAATACCTTCTTAATCAATATGGAGTACTCTTAAAATATCACAGCTGGTCATCAAAGATGACTAAGATAGCCTCCTATTTATATGAGTTGATGAGCTCTATGAATTCTAAAAAAAATCCTTTTTACTAAATAAAAAAAAAATTGGCTTTAGTTTTTAACTTATGATCACTTGGAATGAAACACCAGGAATGCTACAAGACTAAATTTAAAATGGGAGGTGGTGGTAATGGTTAGCAAGCTGCCAGCAACAAATGGGAAGGAAATAGCAAAAGGGAATATATAAAGAGAAGCAGGAAAGGGTTAACAAGACAATTTGCTAGTATAATCCTGTGTGAGAAAAGGTGACCAAAACACAAGAAATATCTCAATCTCAGGGATTCAGATAGAAAAGGAAGAAAACTAAGAGAATGGTATTCACACAGATCTTAAGAGTAGACTGGAAGAATGTAAGAAGGAGAGAAAAAAAAAACCACACAAGTGAATGTAATTGACTTGTGTTACTGAATAAAGGGAATTCATGGGAGAAATTTAATTTTTATAAGAATTTATAAGAATTTGACTTCCAGAATCAATTAGAAATTAGAATGAAAGAACGTTTACCATTGTCATTATGTATCCATGAAGATTTCTGTTCTATGAGAAGAGTATGAGACACGCAAATTGCATTCATGACTCATTTTCCATATTCCACATATGTGAGAAGAGAATGAGCACAGGCAAACCAGGGCAATGTAGCCTCATCACTTATATATCATCCATTTCAGGAGATACTTGAATGATATCAAACAGCAGAAGATGCTTGGAAATGGGAACATGTGTTCCTTAAAGGCAGAGGAAATGAAAAGGCATAGCTGCTGGGAACAGGGCTCTGTCTCACCAAAATATGGCCTGCTTTATTTTAATCCAAGAGGCATAAGAAGCCCTGAGTGCTACCAGTAGATAACCAAAGAAAGCTGCTTTCTAACAACCATATGCTTATTATAATCCTTGGTCTTGAACATATTAAAGACTTCCCTTTTGCTGGGCATAAAGTCATAAATGAAAAATCCCATTCCAACTCTCAGAAGCCTGAGGGAAAGAGAGGTAGAATATATGGATGTCTGAGAGAGACAGACAGAGAGAGAGAGAAGAGAGAGAGATCTCAAAAGAAAGTAACCTGAAGGACTGCACAGTACTCTCGTTCACGATGACAATGAAGTCTATAAGTTAAGTGGACTTAATAAAGATACAAAAGTTAAGATTACAAGGTTAATTTTAAACAAGACAAACTGGTTTACACCAATCTGCTAAACTATGTGTTAAAATCATAATTGAAAGTCTCCTACTTGGAACCAAATTAGGGTAACAAAGACTGGATTAGCTCTCTGTTCAAAGTTAAAAAACAAAATAGATGACATAACAGTTTTTAAACACTAGACATCAAGCAATGAAGAACTGTAATCCCAGAGTGATGGGATTACAAAGAGCAAGCCATTTGATTGGCCCAGCTTCATAGAGTTTCCAAGCTGTGACGTCCAAATGGTGAGCCCAGGCAAAGCCCAGCAGTATCCCTGAGTTGAGGAATTGTACCTAGGAGAATGGGAAAGCCAAGGCAACTAGAGTTTGAAGGGCAAAATATCAGCAGGGGAAAGCTGCCCAGAGAGAAAAAGAGAATGCCAGGGACCTAAGTAGGTCGCCCTCGAGTATTCAGAAGAGTACTGATAAGTGCATATATGTAAAGATATAGAAAACTTGAATGACACTACCAACCAGTTCGACCTAATTGACATTTATAAGACATCCCACCAAAGAAAAGTGGAATAAAGTTTCAAGTATACATAGAAAATTTACAGAGATAACCACAGTCTGAGCTATAACATAAATCTCAATACATTTAAAAGAGTTCAGATTTGTTATCTGATCTCAGCGGAATTAAATTAGAAACCAAACAGAAAGATATCTGAAAATTTCTCAAATATTTCAAAACAAAACAGCATACTTCAAAGTAAGTGTGGGTCAAAGAAGAAATCAAAAGTAGAAAGTAGGTGGAACCAAATAAAAATGAAAATGCAATATATAAATATTTGTGAGATGCAGTCACAACAGTGCTCAGAAGTAAATTAATTGCACTAAAATATTTATACTGGAAAAAAGAAAGAATGAATTAAAATCAACAACTTCAGTTTTCCACCTTAGGAAACTAGAAGAGCAAACTAAACAGAAACTAACACACACAAAAAGAAAATAATATAAGATTAAACACCAATGAAAGAGAAGAAAGAAAATCAGTATTAAAAAAAAAAAATTGGTTCGTTTAGAAGAACAATAAAATTGATAAACCTCTAGGCAGACTGATGTAGAAAAGAAGATACAATTACAAATATCAGGAATTAGAAAGGTATCATCTCTACAGATACTAAAAGACAATAAGGGAATATTTTCAACAAGCTTATGCCAAAATATGCTGCAACTTAGATTAAATGGACAAACACTTTGAAAGACTCAAAGTGCCAAAGCTCATTCAAGAAAAAAAAGACATAACCTGAATGTCTTATAACTACTAAGAAATTGATTTTATAGTTAAAAACCTTCTACCAAAAAAATACCACAGGCCCCGATGCTTTAACTGTGGAATCCCACCAAAAATTTAAGGAAGAAATAATAGCAATTCTGTGCCAACTTTTCAAAATATTAAAGAGGAGGGAATGCCCCCCAACTCTTACTAAGAGGCCAGCATTACTCTAATACCAATACCAGATAAATACTTTAGAAGGAAAAATAAAACACGAACTTGTATCACTCATAAACATAGATGTAAAAATTCCTAACAGATTTTAACAAATCAAATTCAGCAAAATATGAAAAGTGTATTGCTTCATAATCAAATGGAGTTTATCTCAGGAAAGCAAGGTTGGTATAACATTAAAAAATCAATCACTATAATTCACTATATTGACTAATTTAAGAAACCTATATGATTGTCGTAATAGATGCAGAAACAGCATTTGACAAAAATCCAACACCAATTTTTGATAAAAACTTGCAACAAACTAGGACTAGAAGGGAGTTTCTTCAGCCTGATAAAGGGCATCTACAAAAACCTATAGCTAACATCATTCTTTTATATTTATTTTAGAGACAGAGTCTCACTCTACTGCCCAGGTTAGTGTGCAGTGGCATGATCATGGCTCCCTGCAGCCTTGAATTCCTGGGCTGAAGTGATCCTCCCATCTCAGACTTCTGAGTAGCTAGGACTACAAGTGTGTGCCACCATGCCTGGTTATTTATTTATTTATTTAATAGAAACAGGGTCTCACTATGTTGCCCAGGCTGGTCTTGAGCCCTGGCCTGCACTGGTCTCCCAAAGTGCTGGGATTACAGGCATAAGTCCCTTGTGCTCACCCCTACCATCATTTTTAACAGTGAAAGATCGAAAATCTTTCTTCTAAAATCAGCAGCGAGGCAACAATGTCCACTCTTACCATTCACTTTTGTATGAAGCAAAAGAAAAAAAAAGGCATACAAATTGAAAATGAAGTAAAATGGTCTTCACAAACAACATAGTTGCCTATGTAGAAAATTCTATCACATCCACCAATTAGGTAAACTATTAATAAATGGGTTTTATAAGGTTGCCGTACAGAAAATCAAAATACAAAATCAACTGTATTCCTCTACAGTAGCAATGAACAAATGGAAACAAATAAAACTATCACTACCAATATTATTAAGAACTATAAAGTATTTACATAGCCATTATTCAATCAATACTTAGATATCATCTCCAAAAAATGTGAGATTTGTGCACTGAAAACTACAGAACAATTTCTGAGAAAAATGTTAAAAGACCTAAATAAATGGAGAGATGCCAGGTTCATGGGTCAGAAGACTCAATAATATTAAGACGTTAATTCTTCCCAAATTGATCTGTAAATTCAATGTAATCCCAATCTAAATCCCAGCAGGCTTTTATAGGAATTAATAAGCTGACTCTAAAATTCATATGGTAAAAAAGATCTTGAATAGCAAAAAATAACCTTGAAAAGAATCACAAAATTGGAGGACCTACTGTTTTCAAAATTATAATGTTACAGTAATTAAAACAGTGTTGAATTGGTCTAGACAAACCGATGATGGAACAAATAGAGAATACAGAAACAGGCCCATACATATATGAACAACTGATTTTTGACAAATGTACAAAGGTAATTTAGGTGGAGAAAAGAGAGTCTTCTCAAAAAAGGGTTCCAGAACCATTTCTGCAGGCAAGAAACTTATATCCAGAATACTAAAATGTAAAATAAAAATGCCCTACCCAAAACTCAATAATAAGAAAACAACTCAATTAACTAATGAAGCGAAGATTTCAAGAGAAACTTTTCCAGGGAAAACAGGTAGCAAATAAACATATGAAAAGATTCTCAACATAATTTATCATTAGAAAAATGCAAATTAAAAAATCACATGAACACATTTTTACACAACTATTAGAAAGCCTTGGGTTAAAAGGCTGACCATTCCAAGTGATGAGGAAGATGGGAAGCAGCTGGAACTATCGTAAGCTGCTGGCGGGAATATAAAATGGTAAAACCACTTCAGAAAAGAGTTTACTCATTTTGTAAAAAGGTAAAAATATTCCCACCATATGGCCCAGTCGTTTCACTCCCAGGTATGAAATTACATTACATCTTTACCCAAGAGTAATGAAACCATGTTAACATTTTACAAAACTGTTCAGATCAGCTTTATTAGTAATAGCCAGAACTAAAAATAAGCCCAATGTCCATCAACAGGTGAATGGATAAATAAACAGTGGAACAGTCATGCAACTTAATGCCTCTCAGCAATAAAAAGACGAACTATTGATATATTCAATGTACATTATCCTGAAATAATTATGCTGAGTGAAAAAGGCTAGACAAAAAAGAGTACATGCTGCATAGTTCTGTTTACATAAAACAGTAGAAGAAGCAAACTAATCAACAGTCACAGAAAGCAGATCAGTGGGTACAGGGCGCAGGGAGAATTGAAGGGATTAGGAAGGTAGATTATAAAGGGGCATCTGGAAACCTAGGGGTGGTAAGTATGCTCACTATCTCTATCATGGTGATAATTTTATAGGTTTATACAAAACATTAAATTGTACTCTTTAAATATGAGTTTATTCTGTGTCAGTTATACCTCAATAAAGTCGTTTCTTAAAATACAGAATATAGGCTCTTGAAGAACAGAGAATAAATGGTCCATCTTCTCCAACCATATGAAGGTGAATATCTAAAACTTGTATGCTGGAGAGGGTTTTAGTTTTAGCTTTGCAAGCCCATTAACTGACAGAGTAAGTAAACTCTTCCAACATATTTATCCCCATGAAAGATATGAAGCTGCCCGATAGAGTAGAAAGAGCATAGGTGTGGGGTTCACAGAGAGACCTGGGTTCAGGTGCTGCCTCTGTAGTTTACTGCTCAGTTCTCACTGTTAACCCCTCAAAGGCAGGGGCTGACTCTCTACTGACTAACACAGTGCCTGTAAATGTTTGCTGACCTGGACCTGTATTTCTTCATAAAGCAACTATTTCATCAAGACTGTTTGGAAGCAGATAAGCTAGGAATGCTAAGGCTAGCTAGCAAGTTGAGGCTAGGTAAAGAAGAGTCTGACTTCAATGTTAGATACAGATTAATCTCATAGTTTTCAACGAGAACAAAACAAATTCCCAGAGTACAGGCTGCATTGCGCACCAATTAAACTAGCTCTCTAAGGGTAAAGCCAATATCAATATTTTAAAAACAACCCCCATGTGATTTTAACACACAGTAAAGTTGGAGAATTATTATGCTAGACTCCAAGCCTTTTTAGTATCAATTTTGACCTGATCTCCATTATTCTAGACTTAGCCTCAGAAATGGACTCCGTGTTCTTGGGTTCTTGACACGAACTGTGCTCCCAACTTCACTTCCTATTGGTAAACTCTCTTTATTTTTCCCTTACCCTCTCTGGATGATCATAATGCTGTGTTTCCATTCTTAGAATGGCCACTCAATCCTTTGCTTGTTGGTTTGGCTTGGGGTAACATTTCTGAGCTAGACATGACTCAGATTAACTTTGTCATAGTGTGTGTCAATGGCAAGTCATCCTCGTAAGAATTTTCTGGTCGCCTGGATTTGTGAAACTGGTCAATATACCACTCTTGTAAAAATCTTACATATGCTTGAAAAGAGTAATCATTTAGATGTCTTTCTAGCCGGAGAAACTATAATTCCTTGCCATTCCTTTATAGATCTGTTTTCTTTGATGTAAGTCATTCTGGTTTCTCAACAATTATCTCCTTATTACGAATATCACTCTAAAGGCCTAAGGTAACATTTCTATTCTTTGCTCAGTTTTGTTAAAATCAATGAATGATGGCAGAAAATATGAATTCTTCACTTAGAAAAGTCTTGTTATTCACATTCTGCATGCTGAAAAAATGATACTTAACCATTATAACCATTATGAGAAGTCATTTTTATCAAAGTACTCTATATACAGAAAACACTTCCCTCACTCTGACAAAATATTCTGAGGTTACTCCAGCCAACAACAGTGTCAAGTATCTGTCTGAAACAATGGGACATCAATATCTCCAAACCAACTCAATTTTAAGAGATGGAAAAAGCAAATTATTATATTTCACCTTTATCGAAGCCCTCTCCAGAGCATTTGCTAATTATTAGTCAATCTGTCGCTTGTTGTTGCTACTTGATAGTATATGGCAGCAGTGCTGCTTCTGAGGCTGCTGTAATTGAAGGTTTGCAAGAGCTTCTATTGCTGAGGCACATACTCCAACTTAAGACAGATGTGATCAGCCTTGTTTTTAACAAGACCGAAATAACTGGAAATCTGTGATTTGGCTAATTGCAGGGTTCCTCAAAGTATCTTAATACAGGAAAAACTTTGGCCATGCTCTGAAAAATACCTTCCTGAACTCTAACTGGTTGGCATTCCCATTCTAAGCCTCTCCTCTCAGGCTATCACAAACCAGAGGAAGCAATTGCCAGACCATTGAGTAAATAACTGATCTTTAAAAAATACTTAGAGGTATGAACTAAAGTCAAATCAATTCTGTGGCAGAAGGTATTAGCTTAGCATTCCCTTCAGGAGAGCAGACACTCTGGAGCCAAAGCTTCAAAAATCTGACAGATAGAACTCAGCTCTTAATCGTTTCCGTGGTACATACATGTGATCAAGACCATATTTCCTCCGGTGCTCATCTCCCCTCCTATCCTAACACCAGAACAAGAAATGGCTTTGAAAGATCTATGCACCTGCTTCCTTTAATACTGTCCTTTACAGTCAATCAAGAGAGGTCCATGTCCTGAACCCAAGCTTTAGGTAACTCTGCTCTAGCCACTGTCTAGTTATATCTGAATCCATAGAGTAAGGAGTTTATGGGGCCAAGGGAACATCCCCACCTGATGTCTGTTCCCTCAACCACTTTCTAGGCCACCTTCCAGGTATCAGTGACCTCAGAACTTCCTGATCTCATAGCCCCGAGACCACTCCCAGGGCCTGGATGGCCCTTTCTCTCAGGTTCATTCACCTGATAAGAGGGCAGACTACCAGAGTGTGCAACTCTGGCCTGAGAGCCGTAGCTTATGGGAATGTACATGGAGCTTGGCTACGCAGACCTGGTGTGTGCTTGACACCTTTCCAGGTGTAGGATGGAGCTGAGGGTGGGAAGAAAAGGAAGGCAGGCTGTGCAGTGGGACCACCGCTCCCTGCACTGACACACGTAGCCTGCAAATCCAAGGAATCTAGGAATTCTTATGCAAATCTGAACTTTCAGCTCTTCACGCAGAATGGAATATATTTAAGGTCTGTTAACCTAATATGTAACTTTACATATTTAGACACGTAGTATATAAGGCTCCATTTGTACTCTTGCTCAAGGCCCAGTTTCATGTATCCCTTAAAGAGACTAGAGATTATCCTCTGCTTAGAATTCTCAAGGTATTCTATGTCAAATTTCAAATGAGAGAACTCTCTGAAGTTTTGGGAAAGCAACCGACCAACATAAGATTATAAATATTTATCTAAAAACCTTTATAAAGTGAATTTGTCATTTAGTTCTCAGTTATTTTCTATTTTTAAAATTCCTTATGTTAAATACATTTATGCTCTATTTCATGAAACAGGACTGCAAAAGCCTATACATTTGAAAAGTCTGTAAAAGTTTTTCAGAAAAATTAGGTATTTTCCTCACTATCCTCCGAGTTGAATTCTCAAAGAAAAAAATTTGATTGTATCATGGCTTAATGTCACAATGCCTGACAAATTCCTCAAAGGCTGATTCAAACCATTATTGTCGTCAGACATCAGTAAATACAATCAATAAATATCTACTATCACCTACTATGTGCCAGATTCTGGGCAACCAAAGATGGATAAAACCAGTAGATAAGATGGAACTCAATATTAATTGGAGGAGGTTGACAAATAAGCAAGCAATGACAATGTTTGATAGATGTTATGAAATTATTAGCAAAACACAGGAGGCGCACCAAACCCAATCCTGGAATGCAGGAAGGTTTCTCAAAGAGATGTCAGCCAAGGTGAGTGCTGAAATTAGCTGACTAGTTTACGTGGCAAAGAAGGCAATTAAAAATGTCTAATCGGAAGACCTCTAAACTTCATCAGTGGCATACAGAAAAAGAGACAGAGGGGAACTAATATTTTTTTGACTGCCAGGCACTGTGAAAGTGCTTTGTATATATTAAATAACTGATCTTCAGAGTAAGAGGGCAAAAAAAGTTTTATTCAGTCCATTTTATTGAGAAAATACAGTAAATTGTTCCCAGTCATGGGACCAGAAAGTGGCATACTCTGGATTCAAACCCAATATTCCTCCCAGTACTTCAAGGATCACTAAATTGAAAAACCAAATTTTGCCCCATTTGTTCGAGCCAAGAAGCTTAGATTTTCTTTGAGAGAAGCAGAGAGGTGTATCAACAAAGTGCACTTTGGTTGTAAAGAGATGTCTCTAATGAGAGCGTGCCAGAATGTGACTGGAATGGCAGATGGAGGGGTTGAAACTTGCGGTTGCAATTTCCATGTTCTTGATCAGTGGTTGTTGGTAATTGTTCATGTGCTTTATAGCATATGGCCCTTTCTCTGTCATTAAGGTCACTCAATATTTTCATTCAAACTGACCCACCAAAAGTAAGGACAAGGTGTCTGTCCCTGCCTCTTTGAAAGGCCACATGTTAGAGAACATATATGTCACCTGATCTTAGACTGGTACTATTGGTTTCTCTCTTTACAAGTCATCCTCTCAGTATAAAAGTATACTTAGTAATAGAGGCCAAATTGTCAAAGAACTCACCTTTTGATTAGAGAAATAGGATAAGAAGACTTTTTGTGTGTTGATTTCATAAGTAAATGCATTTTCTGGTAGCCTTATAGAATTTGGGCCTATATTTATGGTCCAAATGCTTCTCAGAGGCATTCTTTGTCTGCTTTAACTCTGTAGAAGTAGAGAGTTTTGAGTAGTTGTTTAACCAAGGTTCATACCTGGGACTTGGGATGGGGATGTGCTTGTAGGAATGGCTGCTTATGTTCTTTACTCAATAGCTCTGACTTTGGGGAAGATGACTACATTGTAAAATTTAAATGTTTTCAACGTTAGTTAAGCTGAGTAAGAATATCAATTTACTACAAAAGAAAACTCTTACAGAAATGTTAATCTAAAAATTGGTGGCTCTGTAGTTATTTGCATGGGAAATGGATTTACACAAAAGCGTTAGTCTAGGCCGGGCGCAGTGGCTCACGCCTGTGATCTCAGCACTTTGGGAGGCCAAGGCAGGTGGATCATGAGGTCAGGAGTTCGAGACCAGCCTGGCCAACATGGTGAAACCCCATCTCTACTAAAAACACAAAAATTAGCTGGGCGTGGTGGCGGGCACCTGTAATCCCAGCTACTTGAGAAGCTGAGGCAGGAGAATCGCTTGAACCCGGGAGGTGAAGATTTCAGTGAGCTGAGATCGCGCCACTGCACTCCAGCCTGGGTGACAGAGTAAGTCTCCGTCTCAAAAAAAAAAAAAAGCGTTAGTCTATAAAAAGTAATTGAACAGTCTTATTGTAAAATCCAATCTTTAATCTGAAAATAGTGTGACAATTAGGTAATATTAGTTTTTATATAAACTAGCCGCTTATCACTTGAATAAAGCAAAAAGCCCAAATTCTAACCAATAGCCTCCTTGAAAGGCTACCTACAGGTGAGAGAGAATTTCTTCCAATTGTAAAGAACTTCAGAATCTGCTATAGTTATATGCTGAAGAACTTTAGCAATTGCTGACGTATATGAGTTGTGTTGAGGCAAAATACGAGAAGAGGAGGATCCCATACATTCACAAATGGGGTAAGTTCTCCTTCTGTCAAAATACTCCATCACCAGTAAGCTTATATCATTATCATATATTACAAATTTTATATACAAGTAAATGCCCCAAAGTTCCATTTTAAACCTGGGCACTAAATGTTCCTTTTTGAACTTGCATTTCTTGGCCTCTCTGCAGACATTTGGTAACATCAGTGACTTTTGTGACATTTACTCCTGAAATAATCTGGACTATTTAAAACCAAGGCTAGCATTCCCATATCACACACATCGTGCCCAAAATGAATTATGCTCACTTAGCCAGTATATATTCAAACAATATGCTCAGGGAATGTAAATCAATAGTAGTCTAAGTAAAACATCACCAGAAGGGAAAAAGTAGAATGCAACAAAGTAATATAAAATCCAAAGGAAATTGTATTAAATTATCTATCACTCAGACATCCTCCAGGCATGTCAATAATCTGTAAATCTATCATCCAGGTGACTAGATTATTTAATCAGCCTCTAAATGGTGAATGTTAAATACACAGTAGGTACTCAATAAATAATTGAGTTGCTTTAGAATAAAGATAATAATTTGGAATTTTGAAGTAAGCTCTAGTATTTGGCATTTAGTTTGCAATTGTTCCTTAGAAAAGAAATCACCAGTACCAAAGCTGGGGAAACAGTCTACCTGCCTACTGATTGAGCTTATCAGTTTTCTTTTTTTAATACTTTAGCAACCTAAACTTATGCAATTTTATTTTCTTGTCATTGCTTTCCCTGCACTACCAAAAATGATGCTTTCTTTACTATTTCAAACTCATCATAAAATTGCTAAAAATCTAAAATTCAATTTGCCACATTACTGCTAATTTGAATAATGGCTGAATAAAAGACAGGAAACGCTGAACCAGCATTGATTTCTAAAACATTTTGCACTTTCCTCCTCCATCCCTGTAAAGTAAAGCTCGGAGGCCACGCACAATTACACAAGAAAATCAAGAAAGCCATTACATTCAGCGTTTTGCCATGATCATTGTTACCATGGCAAAAAGTGGGCTTAGGTTAGCACAGCTGCCACAGGCGAGGTCCACTGGCCTTTTGTAAAACTGAGTAACAATATAATGCCAAATTCTGTAGCTGGTCACTGTTTTTACCCTAGGACAAGGCTATTACCCACGGATGCTACTGTCTCATTCCTTAAGGATCTGAGTCAATGTCATTTTATTATTGTATTCTTACTGTTGGCCGGCATTCCTGTTCTAAGGGGGGAAAAAAATGTGTAGTGTGAACACTTGGGACTGCAATAATAGAAAAAGCCAAAGTTTGGATGGTTGCATTGTAAATGACAATAGGGTTGTGCTAGAAATCACACAGATTTGGGAGTCAGAGATAAAAGCAGATCCATGATAACTAGCACTATAGCACATCATTTTCTCTGAGTATCAGCTTAGTTATCTGTAAAATGGGGATAAAAGTAACTTCCCGGGCATAAGGTAGATAATCAGTAAAATAAGACCCCCCCACTCCTTTCTTAATGCTGAGATTTCCGTGTCTTCGGGAATGTTAATATGAGTTGGTAGGTAAACTACTCTCTATTCTTGGAAGGTATATCATTTCCATCTTTCATATCGTTTGGATACTTTTCTCAGAGAGCTGAGGATAAATTATTTTAAGGTCTGACAGTAAGCATAAATTTCACATCAAAAGGATAAAAGTTCAGTGTCAATATTGTAATATATACCACATCTTATTATCTGCATTTTAAGTGACACCAATATTATTGTAAAATGAATGAAAAATGGAATATATACTAATTTTGACCTTATGCAGAGATTTTTAGTTTTAAAAAATGAAGCAACATTATGAAAGCGGAGAAGTTTAAATTATCTGAAATGAATACATTAATCAAAACTCTGTATTTACTAGAAACAAAGGCTACTAGCATTTTTACCAGCTAAACAAAATATTTTTTTCTAATGAGATTTCAGCTGAGTATCGTTTATCTTAAAAGAAAAATAATGAGACCTTACCTATTCCAGTAGCTCCAGAACTGGTCATGCAGGTAGGCGTGGTGGCTACATTCATCACCAAATGAGGCTTTGCTTTCAATCCAGTGAATTATGTGCCCTTCTACAGCTAAGGGACAAAGCATTACTAATATACGGAGAAGGGAAGGGAGATTGAAAATTCTCAACTCTGCACAGGCCTCTCTAAGCTTCACATTAATGAGCACAGGCTTAGCTCTTACCATCATTTATAAATGTAATTACAAAACAACACACTGTATATGTTCATTACAAAGAACATTTATGTGACAATCATATTCCTTTGATTTTCATTATATTCTTCAAAACTCCCTTTCCTAGTTCTCAGACTGCCTGTATAACTCGACAAGTGACATGCCAAGCAGACCAAAATGAGTCTGGTTTTTCAACAGATCTATGTTTAAGGAATTGGAAATTTAGAGAAATAAGTTGAAAATGACAACCAAAATATCTTTAGAAAACATGTTTATAATATATGCAAAAGATTTTAAGACAGATTTCTTCTGAACCTATTATTTTCTGCCATTTAAAAACAATATTTTCTAATTATTCACCCATTTTTAATATTATAAAGCTAATATTAACGTAAAGACATTAAAAAATACATCCCTTTTCTCTAAAAACAAACGCATAACAGAGCTGAAGAACTTACCAACTGGTACTTGTAAAATAAAGTCTGGTGTTTTGTCATAACCCTTTGCACGGAGCTGATCTTCATCTACAGGAAGAACAAATGCTATTTACTTACAACACTATTCAATTAACAAGATAGGAATATATTTGTTTTTATTTCTTAAATATGTATAAAAACTACTACTGTAGTCATACAGATCTTTCTTATACATGCAGTGCTGTGTCAGAATAAATGAACTTTCTTAACAACCCTGAAGCGTAAATATGCTTCAGATATGCTTCTTTCATTATTTTTTTCTGCATTTTTTGTTATTATAAACATCACGAATTCAAGCTGTCATATACTACCTTTTTTGTAATTGAAAGTACTCAAAATAAAGTAATACACTCACTGATTTAAAATAAAGGCTTTCACTGCTGTGAAAATTACAAATGTTATCAGCTAGTATTGACAATTTATAGTCAAGGGCCAAGCACAGTGGCCTCTACAATGATGAAAAAATGCTTTCAGTAAAGCAATTACAAAAGTTTAGTTTCAATTAGTGAAACTATTCCCACACACAAGAAAGAGACAAGGACCATGAGATCGCCATAAAGATTTAGTTATCCTGCTTAATTCCTTTGGTATGCTATTGTTTCTGGCATTTACCTGAGTTTTATAACAATATGTAATTCTGAAAAGCAAATAGGCTTTGAGATTTTTTTTCCTAAGTCAGTTCGATTTCTTGTTCCCCTGTAAATACCAATGATCTATTCAGAAGGAAAGAAGGCAGGAAAACAGGAAGCTTGACAAAGTTGGGAAAAACCAGAAAGGTGATTGTTTAAAAAAAAAAAAAAAAAAAAAATCCACCAATATTTTCTAAATGCTGTCCTTGACTTCTAATGGCATTACAATGTGATTTCTGAAATGGGGAGTTCTCCATTAGATTTTGGAGTGACCTGGTCATTCAATTCCAGACATGGCTTTCTGTCTTCACCCAACCTCAACTAATGGCCCCACCAAGTAACAAGGAAGGCTGTGTGGTCTCTTAACACCTACTGGGCTGTTGACATTGTCATGCATCCCATTCGCCTTCCTGCATCACCTTTGATTAAAATTAATGGCCCATTCCCAGTGTTGGGTAGCTTATTTCCAATCCATTTGTCAGCCCAAGACAGTGGTTTCATGGCCAATGTTCAGAAACTCTGTTTTAGAACACTCTTGTGCACATCTTGAAAGGTCAGCATTTTAAATGTAAATAACCTTTTAATGACAAGACACATATTTAAAGTAGACATTTAAGTTAAATTTTGTTAAAAGTCAATATCCTTAAACTGTCTAGATTTTGAAGGATTGATGCCAGTATTCAGAACAACTTCTCCTCCTTGAAATATAAAAAATCTCAAGTTAACTATTGAGATAACGAAATACAGATTGAAATAATATGACTTTAAAAACAAGATAATTTGGAAAGTGAGCTGTAGATGAACAAGACTGGACGAGTTTCTGTTCTGTAACTATACTCTGACCACAATGAGAATATTTAATAGAAAAGGCATTTATTAAAATCAACTCCAGTGCCTTGAGCTGATGTTTCCGGTAGCTGATGAACAGTTTTAAAAGCAATGGTGACATTAAAAAAGACAGATTAAGATTTCATTAAAACTCTCCTAGTTTCATCAACCTTTGCAGATGTTAAAATCTGTTTCAGAAAGAAAAATGATTATGTTTCTGATAATAGTGCAAAACAAAATTTCAAAGGTCACCAAGCAATCTAAATGCACACACACACAAAAATCCCTTTAAAAGACAGATGCTGCACTCCTGTTCACTGCACCAAAATTACAACATGATATCTACAATTTAAACTGCATGACTGACTTAATATGAAAATTAACAATCCCGAACTCCAAAACTGAAACACAAAACATCAAGTGTGGCTAGGGATCCTTCCCATCTTTTTGTGGTGAACTTCAACAAACTACAACTGGCTCGCTCTGTCTCTTTCTCTCTCTCACATATACACACCCCTGTCTCTCTCCCTCCCTCTCACTCTTTCTCTCTCAACATGAAGCTGATTCAATAATCATTGTAGCCAAAGGATAGCATCTGGAAGTCTGTGTCACCATTGGTGATATCAGATTTCCATTTTTTTTTTTTTACTAGTAAAGAGGTTATCCCAAACATCTAAAATACTATGTATTGGGCATCTTCTTCCTTTAATTTATTTACTAAACTCTCACTGCCGTAGCTCCCCTGGTTCAACCTTTGGCTTGCTTGCTTCCTTCATCCTAAATCTAAGAAAGGACGAGGTAACAACTTGGCAAAGTTCAGACAAAATGATGGTACCAGGGTAGGAAGCAGCATTTTGAAACAGGTGGCCTTGTTCATCTGTTCTAGGCCCCAGGACACTTAATGCCCCCAAAAGATGAATGAGTAAAATACAAGTGCATGTTTACCAGTATCCATGTCTTTACAAATCCTATCTGGATAGACAATAATTTCCTTTCTTAATTTAATTCCCTACATATCAACGAGGCACAAAGGCACCAACTAGGCTCCAAGTTCAAGGTTTTATTGGATAACTCTCACTGTTATCTTTCTTCCTGGGTCCCAACTGTCTGTGCTACATGTTCATCTGAGGTTCATCTCAATTGTGTAAAAAAGACAGCATCTCTTTCCTTAATACTGATGGGAAAATTTTTCTTTGACGTCAAGTTTTTTTTTTTTTTTTTTGAGATGATGTCTTGCTCTGTCGCCTATGCCGGAGTACAGTGGCACAATCTTGGCTCACTGCAACCTTCGTCTCCTGGGTTCAAGTGATTCTTCTGCCTCAACCTTCCAAGTAGCTGGGATTACAGGTGCATGCTACTATGCCTGGCTAATTGTGGTATTTTCAGTAGAGATGAGGTTCCTCCATGTTGGCCAAGCTGGTCTTAAATTCCTGACCTCAAATAATCTGCCTGCCTCAGCCTGCCAAAGTGGTGGGATTACAGGCGTGAGCCACCATGCCTGGCCTCAAGTATTTTAAGTAACACTGGACCTATCCACTCCTTATTATTTTAGTAGAATTTCCCCACAAAACCCAATCTGTGGCTGGTGCCATTGTTGGGTGGGCAACTCTTTTTTCTTTGGCTATTGATCTGTTGAGAGAGAGTGAGATATATATATCTTTTATACTCAGTTTTACAATTTATGTTTTCCTTGAGAATCACACATTTCATGCAGGCTCTTATAAAACAGCATATATTTGAGCCAAGTAGTTACTTATGATTCTTTGAATTTTCTAAGTGGAAACTAGATGTTTAAGTAATATAAACTGTTTCTTCAACAGTAATATAAGATGTTTTCTTCAAGAAAAAAGTGATAAAGATTAAGAACAAAGTAAAAATAATATTAGTTAGAATGAAAAAAAGGTTATGGCAATAATATGAAACAGTACTTTTAGTATGACTTCCCCAAATGGTTGAGAATCAATATCAAACCAATCTTCAAATCCTGCATATATGTCTTAGTGACTGTACTAGATACAAAGTAAGGGTCTTCTGGTTTAAGATATATATTTAAAAACCCAATATATTTCATAACCATTAAGTTCATTAATGTTATAGTTCAAGTGTTCATTATCAAAATTAATATGGGAATATTATCACTTAAAAGCAGACCTGTTAACCTTCAGATTCACAAAACACAGATTTTTAGATAACGGGTGCCTCCAAAACATTTCTGAACTAGTGAAATTGTAGAGATTACTAGTCCAACATTTCAATTTACACACAATACAACTGGCCTAGAGAGAAGTTAAATGAGCAAACAAGACCAAGACCTCTCAAATCACTGCAGATACAGGGTAAGTGCCCATGTCAACTAAGTTGCAGTTGGTCTCAGCAGACAACATACCATTCCTAATTATGCAGATATTTAAATTTGATCAAATGTAATATTTTTAAGGTGGGGAAAGATTTATTTCTGTCTTGGAAGATCCTGAAATGTAAGAAAGGAAGACTGCCATCTGCGAGCTATTTAGACAACACCTGCCTGAAAAGGAGATGAACTAGACAGTATCTTGTTTTCTAGCACTTCAATGGTCCTCTCTCCAATTTATCTTAAATAACTCAATAAAACCACATCCAAAGATAATGTTAATTTTCAAAAACAACCCAGGTCTTCATTTATTTTGAGGTTGTCAGGCCTGTCTTTAGAGGGCATTTTTTAAAAAGAAATTACACATGCATAAAGAACATTCTGAAGGTTTAATTTCTCTGGCCTTTGAATTACCCTCTTCTCTAAATACCCAAAATATCCAAAGCAATTAAGTACTAATTACACAATTTCTTTTCTTAAAATAAAGGGCTGATTTTGAGTCAGCGAACAAAACACATCTGAAACTAGTTAATGTATACTTAAGAATCACAGGGGGGCATGAGGACTACCAAGAAAAGGTTTGAGGGCTTTAAGTTTGTTTTGTTTTATTAAAAGTTTTACATTTTAAAAGTATAGTCATTTCCATAAAAATCATGCAGAATTCTGGTTCACAACATCTGAAAATGAAAAGTCACATTCTGACAGGACTTTTATCTACGAATTTATAAAACATTTTCTAAAATGCTAGATTAAAATACACTGTATGATAAGAAGAATATTCTCAACACCTAGTGCATCTTTACTAAATTGAGGGAGGGCAAAAAAGACATATATCAATACATATTAAAACTATATCTTTTCTACTCTAGTAACTAACTTTGTTTTACTGTGTTTTTTTTTTTTCACAACTCTGTATAACTCAATATTTGGAGTTATGATCTTTGTTCTCTATATTTTTATGTTCCCTAAGAGTAAGTTTCACAGCCTTTTCTATACAATTTAAGAAGTTTGCAAGGTTTCAGTAACAGATACTACATGTTATGCAAACCGTGTGCAAAGGTACACAGAATAGACATGCATTTAATGGGGAGACCAATAACACAGATAAATGAAATCTTTAGAGAACCCAAAACTTCATTATAGCTGTTAGTTTCAACCTCTTTCCCCAAAGCCTCTTATCAAAGCCACTAATAAGGAATACAACTGACTGCTCTGACCTTGTCCTTTGCTTATGTCTTTAG